GGTTCTCCAAGGATCTCTACTGGGACCTGAGTTGTTCAGCATATTCATAAACGGCCTGGAAAAAAGGGGTATACAGTGAGGTGGCAAAGTTTGCAGACAATACAAATTACTCACAATAGTTAAGTCCAAAGTTGACTGCCCCTGGTTACAAAGAGCTCTCATAAAACTGAGTGACTGGATAAGAAAATGGCAGATGAAATTCAATGTTGATAAATGCAAAGTACTGCACATTAGAAAAAAAAAATCCCAACTCTACAGACAAAATGATGGGATCTAAATTAACTGTTACCTCTCAAGAAAGATCTTGGACTCATCGTGGTAGTTCTCCCTAAATACTGCTTAATGTGCAGCGGCAGTCAAAAAAGCTAACAAAATGTTAGGAGCCATTAGGAATCAGACAGATAAGATGACAGAAAATATCATAATGTCACTATATAAATCTATGGAACGCCCACACTTTAAAAATTGCATGCAGCTCAGGTTGCCACATCTCAACAAAGATAGAATGGGAAAAAGCACAGAGAAGGGAGACAAAAATTAGAGGTATGGAACAGCTTCCACATGAGGAGATATTAAAAAGACTGGGACTGTTAATCTTAGAAAAGGGGCGATGTGATAGAGATCTCTAAAATCACGAATGGTGTGGAGAAAGTGAATAAGGAAGTGTTATTGACACCATCATCTAACACAAGAACCAGGGGCCACCCAATGAAATTATTAGGCAACAGGTGTTAAAAACAAACATAAGAAAGGTTTCAGAGTAGCAGCCGTGTTAGTCTGTATCTGCAAAAAGAAAAGGAGGACTTGTGGCACCAAAGTCCTTCATACAAAACACAGTCAACCTGTGGAACTCGTTACCAGTGGATGTTGTGAAGGTCAAAAATATAAATGGGTTCTAAAAAGAATTACATAAGTTCATGGAGGATAGGTCTGTCAATAGCTATTAGCCAAGATGGTCAGGGACACAATCATATGCTCAGGGTGTCCTTAAACCTCTGACTGCCAGAAGCTCAGACTGGATGACAGGGGATGGATCACTCGATAATTGCCTGTTCTGTTCATTCCCTTGGAAGCATCTGTCATCAACCACTGTCAGAAAAGAGGATGCTGGACTAGACAAACCATTGGTCTGAGCCAGTGTAGCCATTCTTCTGTTCTTAAAGCTTAAAGGAACCTAAGGGTATGTCTACACTACGGAATAAGGTCGAATTTATAGAAGTCGGTTTTTTAGAAATCGGTTTTATATATTCGAGTGTGTGTGTCCCCACAGAAAATGCTTTAAGTGCATTAACTCGGCGGAGCGCTTCCACAGTACCGAGGCTAGAGTCGACTTCCGGAGTGTTGCACTGTGGGTAGCTATCCCACAGTTCCTGCAGTCTCCGCTGCCCATTGGAATTCTGGGTTGAGATCCCAATGCCTGATGGGGCTAAAACATTGTCGCGGGTGGTTCTGGGTACATATCGTCAGGCCCCCGTTCCCTCCCTCCCTCCGTGAAAGCAAGGGCAGACAATCGTTTCGCGCCTTTTTTCCTGAGTTACCTGTGCAGACGCCATACCATGGCAAGCATGGAGCCTGCTCAGGTAACCGTCACCCTATGTCTCCTGGGTGCTGGCAGACGCGGTATGGCTTTGCTACACAGAAGCAGCAACCCCTTGCCTTGTGGCAGCAGACGGTACAGTATGACTGGTAGCCGTCATCGTCATGTCCGAGGTGCTCCTGGCCACGTCGGCTGGGAGCGCCTGGGCAGACATGGGTGCAGGGACTAAATTTGGAGTGACTTGACGAGGTCATTCTCTTTAGTCCTGCAGTCAGTCCTATTGAACCGTCTTATGGTGAGCGGGCAGGCGATACGGACTGCTAGCAGTCGTACTGTACCATCTTCTGCCGAGCAGCCATGAGATGTGGATGGCATGCAGTCCTTCTGCACTGTCTGCTGCCAGCCAAAGATGTAAAAGATAGATGGAGTGGCTCAGAACAAGAAATAGACCAGATTTGTTTTGTACTCATTTGCTTCCCCCCCCTCCCCTGTCTAGGGGACTCATTCCTCTAGATCACACTGCAGTCACTCACAGAGAAGGTGCAGCGAGGTAAATCTAGCCATGTATCAATCAGAGGCCAGGCTAACCTCCTTGTTCCAATAAGAACGATAACTTAGGTGCACCATTTCTTATTGGAACCCTCCGTGCAGTCCTGCCTGAAATACTCCTTGATGTACAGGCACCCCCTTTGTTGATTTTAGCTCCCTGAAGCCAACCCTGTAAGCCGTGTCGTCAGTCGCCCCTCCCTCCATCAGAGCAACGGCAGACAATCGTTCCGCGCCTTTTTTCTGTGCGGACGCCATACCAAGGCAAGCATGGAGGCCGCTCAGCTCACTTTGGCAATTAGGAGCACATTAAACACCACACGCATTATCCAGCAGTATATGCAGCACCAGAACCTGGCAAAGCGATACCGGGCGAGGAGGCGACGTCAGCGCGGTCACGTGAGTGATCAGGACATGGACACAGATTTCTCTGAAAGCATGGGCCCTGCCAATGCATGCATCATGGTGCTAATGGGGCAGGTTCATGCTGTGGAACGCCGATTCTGGGCTCGGGAAACAAGCACAGACTGGTGGGACCGCATAGTGTTGCAGGTCTGGGACGATTCCCAGTGGCTGCGAAACTTTCGCATGCGTAAGGGCACTTTCATGGAACTTTGTGACTTGCTTTCCCCTGCCCTGAGGCGCATGAATACCAAGATGAGAGCAGCCCTCACAGTTGAGAAGTGAGTGGCGATAGCCCTGTGGAAGCTTGCAACGCCAGACAGCTACCGGTCAGTTGGGAATCAATTTGGAGTGGGCAAATCTACTGTGGGGGCTGCTGTGATGCAAGTAGCCCACGCAATCAAAGATCTGCTGATATCAAGGGTAGTGACCCTGGGAAATGTGCAGGTCATAGTGGATGGCTTTGCTGCAATGGGATTCCCTAACTGTGGTGGGGCTATAGACGGAACCCATATCCCTATCTTGGCACCGGAGCACCAAGCCGCCGAGCACATAAACCACAAGGGGTACTTTTCAATAGTGCTGCAAGCTCTGGTGGATCACAAGGGACGTTTCACCAACATCAACGTGGGATGGCCGGGAAAGGTGCATGATGCTCGCATCTTCAGGAACTCTGGTCTGTTTCAAAAGCTGCAGGAAGGGACTTTATTCCCAGACCAGAAAATAACTGTTGGGGATGTTGAAATGCCTATATGTATCCTTGGGGACCCAGCCTACCCCTTAATGCCATGGCTCATGAAGCCGTACACAGGCAGCCTGGACAGTAGTCAGGAGCTGTTCAACTACAGGCTGAGCAAGTGCAGAATGGTGGTAGAATGTGCATTTGGACATTTAAAGGCGCGCTGGCGCAGTTTACTGATTCGCTTAGACCTCAGCAAAACCAATATTCCCACTGTTATTACTGCTTGCTGTGTGCTCCACAATATCTGTGAGAGTAAGGGGGAGATGTTTATGGCGGGGTGGGAGGTTGAGGCAAATCGTCTGGCTGCTGGTTACGCGCAGCCAGACACCAGGGCGGTTAGAAGAGCACAGGAGGGCGCGGTACGCATCAGAGAAGCTTTGAAAACCAGTTTCATGACTGGCCAGGCTACGGTGTGAAAGTTCTGTTTGTTTCTCCTTGATGAAACCCCCCGCCGCTTGGTTCACTCTACTTCCCTGTAAGCTAACCACCCGCCCCTCCTCCCTTCAATCACCGCTTGCAGAGGCAATAAAGTCATTGTTGCTTCACATTCATGCATTCTTTATTCATTCATCACACAAATAGGGGGATGACTACCAAGGTAGCCCAGGAGGGGTGGTGGAGGAGGGAAGGAAAATGCCGCACAGCACTTTAAAAGTTTACAACTTTAAAATTTATTGAATGACAGCCTTCTTTTTTGGGGGCAATCCTCTGTGGTGGAGTGGCTGGTTGGCCGGAGGACCCCCACCGCGTTCTTGGGCGTCTGGGTGTGGAGGCTATGGAACTTGGGGAGGAGGGCGGTTGGTTACAGAGGGGCAGCAGTGGCAGTCTGTGCTCCAGCTGCCTTTGCTGCAGCTCAACCATACACTGGAGCATACTGGTTTGGTCCTGCAGCAGCCTCACCATTGAATCCTGCCTCCTCTCATCACGGTGCCACCACATTTGAGCTTCAGCCCTCTCTTCAGCCCGCCACTTACTCTCTTCAGCCCGCCACCTCTCCTCCTGGTCATTTTGTGCTTTCCTACACTCTGACATTATTTGCCTCCACGCATTCGTCTGTGCTCTGTCAGTGTGGGAGGACAGCATGAGCTCGGAGAACATTTCATCGCGAGTGCGTTTTTTTTCTTTCTAAGCTTCACTAGCCTCTGGGAAGGAGAAGATCCTGTGATCATTGAAACACATGCAGCTGGTGGAGCAAAAAAAAAAGGGACAGCGGTATTTAAAAAGACACATTTTATAAAACAGTGGCTACACTCTTTCAGGGTAAACCTTGCTGTTAACATTACATACATAGCACATGTGCTTTCGTTACAAGGTCGCATTTTGCCTCCTCCCACCGTGTGACTACCCCCTCAACCTTCCCCCCTCCTTGTGGCTAACAGCGGGGAACATTTCTGTTTAGCCACAGGCAAACAGTCCAGCAGGAATGGGCTCCTCTGAGTGTCCCCTGAAGAAAAGCACTCTATTTCAACCAGGTGACCATGAATTATATCTCGCTCTCCTGAGGATACCACAGAGAGATAAAGAACGGATGTTGTTTGAATGCCAGCAAACATACACTGCAATGCTTTGTTCTACAATGATTCCCGAGTACGTGTTACTGGCCTGGAGTGGTAAAGTGTCCTACCATGAAGGACGCAATAAGGCTGCCCTCCCCAGAAACCTTTTGCAAAGGCTTTAGGACTACATCTAGGAGAACCGCAAATGCCAGGGCAAAGTAATCCTTTCACATGCTTGCTTTTAAACCATGTATAGTATTTTAAAAGGTACACTCACCAGAGGTCCCTTCTCCGCCTGCTGGGTCCAGGAGGCAGCCTTGGGTGGGTTCGGGGGGTACTGGCTCCAGGTCTAGGGTGAGAAACAGTTCCTGGCTGTCGGGAAAACCGGTTTCTCCGCTTGCTTGCTGTGAGCTATCATCTTCTTCGTCCCCAAAACCTGCTTCCGTGTTGCCTCCATCTCCACTGAAGGAGTCAAACAACACGGCTGGGGTAGTGGTGGCTGAACCCCCTAAAATGGCATGCAGCTCATCATAGAAGCGGCATGTTTGGGGCTCTGACCCAGAGCGGCTGTTTGCCTCTCTGGTTTTCTGGTAGGCTTGCCTCAGCTCCTTCAGTTTCACGCGGCACTGCTTCGGGTCCCTGTTATGGCCTCTGTCCTTCATGCCCTGGGAGATTTTCACAAAGGTTTTGGCATTTCGAAAACTGGAACGGAGTTCTGATAGCACGGATTCCTCTCCCCAAACAGCGATCAGATCCCGTACCTCCTGTTCGGTCCATGCTGGAGCTCTTTTGCAATTCTGGGACTCCATCATGGTCACCTGTGCTGATGAGCTCTGCATGGTCACCTGCAGCTTGCCACGCTGGCCAAACAGGAAATGAGATTCAAAAGTTCGCGGTTCTTTTCCTGTCTACCTGGCCAGTGCATCTGAGTTGAGAGTGCTGTCCAGAGCGGTCATAATGGAGCACTCTGGGATAGCTCCCGGAGGCCAATACCATCGAATTGTGTCCACAGTACCCCAAATTCGAGCCGGCAACGTTGATTTAAGCGCTAATCCACTTGTCAGGGGTGGAGTAAGGAAATAGATTTTAAGAGCCCTTTAAGTCGAAATAAAGGGCTTCATTGTGTGGACGGGTGCAGGTTTACATCAATTTAACGCTGCTAAATTCGACCTAAAGTCCTAGTGTAGACCAGGGCTAAGGGAGTTAGGTGTTAAAAACTACTTGTTAAGAGCTGCCGGGGGAGTGATCTACAATGCATAACATGGTTTTGTGTTGCTCCTACAAAACCCAGGCACTATGCTACATATTTCTGAGTGCCATCTACTGACCCCTTATATATTAACTATTTACATATATACATTAGAGAGAAAGAGAGCGCGCACACGCTTCTGTAACAGTAGGCACTCAAATCCCAGTCTAAATTTTCAAAAATGTCCAGCTGCTCAGCTTCTCTGAAAAGTCAGGCCCTGGCCATCTCGGTCTGGGCAACCCAAATCATTGAACACTATAGGCAATTGAAGTATAAATGACTTGCCCAGGGTCCCACAGGAAATCTGTGAGACAGCTGGGAACCTTACCCCTTGTATCCCAGTTCAGTGCCTTGCCCACCAGACCATCTTCCCTCCTTTACCAACTCTTCCCTTTCTTCTCTTTCAAAGCAGGCTGGGGGGCAGAGGGCACCTTAGTATTTGTCTATCATTCTGCTTCATTGCCAGGAATGCACTTCATTCATTTTGTTTCCCTTCTGAAACATATAAACATTCACTCAGCCCAGCTGCTTCCCTTGTGTTATTACAATAATGCTTTTCCTGTATTCCCTGGAACATGTTAAAAAAAACAACAACCCTATTTTTAAAATAGAAAAAGAAAATAACTCATATTACAATCTCGGTTCTATTTTCCTTGGAGTTTGACTTATGAAATATTCAAGTCTGTGGCTGGGAGCAGGACAGGATGGCGATTTGGGTCTGAAAACAAGTAGCTAGCAAATCACATGATGAACCTAATGGTTCATTTCACTACTCAAGTTCTCATACTGTTTCTCCTGTTAAATACCCTATGATGTTTTCCCATAGTCATCAATATGGCAGAACCCTAACCTAGAAGGAGAGAGTAGTTCAGTCTCCCTGGCCCATTCATTGGCTCCTCTGCTGAAGCTACTGATAAAGGAACATTTTTTGCTTATTGTGACAGTAGATTTAATGTTGTTGTTATCTGGCCACTAGGATCTGGGTTGAAAAAACACAAACACTCATGCCATCGGCCATCAGACAGTTAAGGCAGGAGGAGAACCCAAGGCATATGAACCACAGTGTGGTGGTCCATGGGCATCCTAGTCACTACGGTAACAAATAATAAGTAATAGTAACAATAGCATAGGACACTTGCTATGCTTAAAGCTAAGCTCAGACTTACGGGTTTTACTGATCAGGGCATTGGTGGCCTTCAGGATAAGCTGCAAGAGTCACCTGTTCTCCCAGGCTTTTCCTGGGGAAGATTTTGGTAGAGATTATTTTGGGGTGGAAGTTAGGGAAAGGATGTATACTATGGCTGAAGATCTGCTGAGGGTTAGGATGGATATGTTATAGATGTGTTTATTTCTTAAAGATAGAAGGGGTTCTGGGATGGCTGTTTTATTTTAAGTCTGGAGGGCTTTTGTGATGGAGATCCTTTGAAATGTGCATTCGACACAACTGGTTGAATTTTAAAATAACCCCCGGTAACCGGCCAGGCCAAAACTCTCGGCGCCTTTAATTTGTAATTTCTAAGTACTCTTCAGCAACAAAAGCCAACACACATGAGATATTAACAACAGGCACACTAGACCAGGGCCTCAGCTGGCATTAATGGATATAGCTCTCTGGAGTTCCATTGATTTACACCAGCTGAGGATCTGTCCCTTTGTTTGCCTCTACACTAATCAACAGACCTTGCAAGCCAACAATAAAACAAGTGTAAAAATCAACAGCATATACGCTACATGAAACATGTATATATCCGTATTCCAGCAGCCTTAGCAAAATCCTGTTTTATTTGTGTACATGAAATAACTTTTCTTCCTAGCCCTGCAAAAAGCTGCTTGTTCTTCATGGTCCATAAAAATTCCTTTTGGTGGCACCATGTCTGAAAACACTGTGTGCCCCCTCTGTGTATGCTCTAAGTAATAAACTGCATAGAGGTGGGTTAATAATTTTGTAGCGTGGCAAAGAGCGTAATGGTGGTTGAGTCAACCTGCCAGGGAACAGGGGTTTTGTTGTTACTGTGCATTTTTTTTTTAACAAAGAGAAATGAAAGTTAGACAAACAGACACTTATTTTCAAACCAATGTATTTTCTAAAGACAGCCCACACAGTCACTGGTCCTTCCGGAGCTGCACTGAATCATGAGGCATGGCTGTACAGAAAATGAAGACAGTCAAGAAGGGAAAGAAATCCTCGCTCACGTCCGACAAATGACTAGAGGCACGAAATTGCTTTGTTTTTTCCAAACAACTGATCACCTTAATTAGATGAGTCATAGACCATTAAGGGTGGAAGATGCAGGCCAAGCTGCCCACTGGCATCTGATTCAGTCTTAACAAGATTATCCATCTCCATGGGGGAGGATGTTTCTCTGACTCGGCTGTACAGCAGAGTGCTATGGTCAGGTGCATTGTGATGTTTTCACCATACAATAAGTATTGGACACTGCTAGAGGCCAATACTGGACATGAGGGACCAGTGGTCTAATCCAGTCCTGCAAACCCTATTTTCCTTTCCAGAATCTAAGTAGCAAGATGGTGCGCGTGGCGATGTTCTCAGTCACAATAAATGGAGGGAGTGACAGGGGAGGAAGGTTCAGAGGAAAGATTAGGAGACATCCTGAAGGCAGTGCCACTTCTGAGGTGAGGCTGAGGTGAGAGAGGTTTGATTGAGGGACACAGGTCAAGAGCTGATAGGTAGACCTGCAACCCATTGGTATAACACCGGTAGTTGGAGCCATGTGAGCAGTCAGGATGACCCAAGGAAAGGCTGTAAAGGGACAATTTTTCCTGATTTTTTTTTCCTGTCTGGATCCTGGAATTTCATCGAAATATGAAAAATGTCAAACACCCCCAGCCATTTAGAGACCTAAGTGAGAGCACTGTCAATGCAGTGGAGAGAGCAGAAGCCAGGCTGGAGGGGATCTGGTATGGAGCTGGAGGAGGGGAACCCAAGGCAGCAGTTGTATATGGCACTTTCTATAAGACTGGAACTCAAGGGAGATGGGGCAGAGGCTGGTGAGAGGCAGGTGGGAGCAAGGGTTGGGGGGCGGCTTTTTGAGAACGGAGGAAAGCAGATTACTGCTAATGTTGTACAGAGTGACAATGAGCTTGAAAGCTTTGCCTGGATCACAGAATTATTCTTGTGTTCCCACGGACACTAACAACATCTGCGGAGGTGGGCACAAGTTATTCCACTTGATGGCCAGGATAACATTTGCTTCCCTAATAAATTATTTAGGCATGATTCTGAAGTCTTCATATGGAGAGATTAGGTTTTGAACATCCCATTCCCTTTTCCCTGGCTATGTTTCTTTCTCTATTACTATGGGAAGGACCCATGGAAAACCCACAGAATCAAAGCCACCCCTTTGATGGCATTTCAGAATGCAGGGGCAGTTCATGTAGGTGCATAGGAGAGATGCCAGTTCAACATGCATCTTGATCTATTTTTTGCTTATATTCTTGTGCACAACTCAAGCCAGAATTTGGGTCCCGGAGCAGACCTCAAAGGCCTGTGCTTTCCCCTTTATTTTAGTCACAGGAAGGGAATATGCCACAGAAGCACTTTTGCAGTGCTTTGTGACTGGCCATTACAAAAGCAGCAAATAGAAAGATGTTTCCTGACCACATAGAGAAGGAAGGGGAAGAGCACATGAAAGCAGGGACCTACGAACAAGCCAATAGGCAGGCCATGGAAGAGGAGGTGGAGGAAAACAAATGGAATGGAGAGCCATGAATACGAGATGCAGGAAAATCCACCAGGAATGCAGATAAGGATATACAAGGGCGAATGGTCCAGATGCTATGCAATCAAGTTTATCCCAGACAGGGTAAAACAACAGAACCTTTTCCTCCCATAGTAAGGTATGATGATTTGCCTTCCTTTGTGGCTCTACAGTACATGATTAAAGTCCTCAGCCAGGAGGAGTAATAAGGACAATATCAGGATGAGTATGCATATATCTTTAAGTGGATATGACTTTTAGTCAAATGCTAGAAGAGAAAGCAAGCAGACCAATTGCTGAGCAAGGACTATCCCTCAGTCGAGGAGAAGCAGGTAGCTATTGCTCTGCTACTCACTCAAGTTTGCTCAAGATATTCAGATGCTTTTGATTCACAGATGTGGAGCCATTAGGAAAACAATGTGAATCCTTTAATTGTAGGAATGTGATTGACTGGAGACAGGTGACAGAGGATGACAGGGTAATAAATAAGGCTGTTTACTAGAACTCTGGGAACTAAGTTTGTTAAGTTGGGGGGGAAAATCCTCTCTTACTCAGGGAAAACTTCCATTGGAGTTAGGAGATGGGTTACTCTAAGGATCCAACTTATTTTCTTCAGTGGAGAATTTTCCATGAGTAAGGACTAAAGAAGGTGTAAAGGTTCCTCCCCCAATCTGAACTCTAGGGTACAGATGTGGGGACCTGCATGAAAACCTCCTAAGCTTACTTTTACCAGCTTAGGTTAAAACTTCCCCAAGGTACAAATTAATTTTATCCTTTGTCCTTGGAATATCCACTGCCACCACCAAACTCTAACTGGGTTTACTGGGAAATGTAGTTTGGACACGTCTTCCCCCCAAAATCCTCCCAACCCTTGCACCCCACTTCCTGGGAAAGGTTTGGTAAAAATCCTCACCAATTTGCATAGGTGACCACAGACCCAAACCCTTGGATCTGAGAACAATGAAAAAGCATTCAGTTTTCTTACAAGAAGATTTTTAATAGAAATAGAAGTAAGTAGAAGTAAAGGAATCACCTCTGTAAAATCAGGATGGTAGATACCTTACAGGGTAATTAGATTCAAAACATAGAGAATCCCTCTAGGCAAAACCTTAGGTTACAAAAAAGACATACAGACAGAAATAGTCATTCTATTCAGCACAATTCTTTTCTCAG